AGGACTACACTGATTTACCTGTCAATATGAGGCAGTCCAGAGAAGTCTCTAACTTATCTTCAAAGGGACCATATTGCCTTTCTCTACTACATGCTTTCAGTCTATTTTCGGCACAGCTGAGTCTCAAGAATCCACAGTAATTTGGAATATTTCTTCCTCAGCTCCAGGAAGCTCTTTCTCACTCCAGTGTGCTACAGGCCCCTGATTGTTGCCTCTTACTTCTTCAGCTTGAGTAAACATAAATGAGTTGTCAATGCCTCCAGATTAATTGTTTTACATTGAACCAAAGCCAGGAACTCAGAGATTTGAATCATTCCCTGCATAGAAGGCTCACTGCAGGTTTTATAGCTCACTTCGGGCAGTCCCAGGGGCTCAAGCTCTGCCACAGATATTTTTTACCTTTCGGTAAGTGTTAGAAATGCCTGAGGGAGTACTCGTTTTGTCTATCACATGATGTTTGTTGGTAGAGATATTTGCTTTGAGTGAGACTAACGGAGCTTTTTAGAGAAACAGTTTATTTACTCAAGTGCCTCTGATCACACTAGTTCAGCTAATATTAGTTCATTAAAAGCTAGTTCAGTTAAAAGGATGTAGTCATATAGTGGACTTAGCTGAGAAGACAACACAGAAATAAAGTAGAAAACTGGATCCCTGTGATATGTTTCAGACTTAACATCTCTCTCTCTCTCTCTCTCAATATTCATATGTATGTATGTATACATACAGCTATATGTAGTCCTATACATACACACATATGTACACACATTCATATTTATATGCATATATACAGATGCATGCACATATACATACTCATAAAATTATTGCACCTATAAGATGTATGATGATATTATATATTACAAAAAAAATACAGATATATGCACTTAAATGTATTTGTGTATGTGTGTGATTATAACAATTTGATGTTCAGTTTGATGTTTATCAAATGCCTGCAATGTACCTGAGTATTTTAAATGCTTTGGAAAACAGCACTGGGGAAACAAATACCATTCCTCTTCTCAAGAATCTTATCCACTAATGAGGCGATTCATATCATTAACACTTTGAATGATATGTACAGAGAAAATAAATAGAATAACATTTTGATGAATAATTGGAGTGACTGCCTTAAGTTGATTAGTCAAAGATAGCCCTTTTGAAGAGGTGAATTTTGATAGATACTTAAATAATGAGAAGTGTATGAAGAAATGATTTGAAGATAAAGATTCTAATACCAATATGTGGAGAGAAGGTTTTCCCAAACCAAGAAGCAATTCCAGGACACCAACAGGCTGCAGTTTCTGTCTCTCTTGTTTTCAGACAGAACAGTTGTTGGCATTTTGTGCCTTGCAGGGTGCAAGAAAATACGTTTAGATTCAGCCCATCTCTGCATTGCTGCAATCCCCCATGCCCAATTATTTTATGGACCCAGATGGCCACAGAGTGCACCATCTGTGGTTCCAATCACCTTCTGAACCTCATAGAGGTTCTTCTGATAGGCATTGACATAACCTACTTTAATGCATTTCTTAAATTCCGAGAGTGAATCCATATGTCCATGCCCACACAGGCATCCCTTTAATCATTCAATTTTCCATTGCTCATCTACCTGATCATACAGCTAGGTCATTGGCTATGGCCCCTGAGTCAGCACAAACACAAATACAGGGACTTTTACCATTGCTCAAATATTTTATCACTGCTCGGAAAACAGCATGCAGTCCAGCCCAATGAGCTGATTTATTTTTACCTTCTTCAGTGGCAGTCTTTCCATGCACTGGTCTTAATGCAACAGCTTTCTAAGTGAGATATTGTCCATGAATCTTGGAACTGCCATCCATAAACCAAGCAGCTCTTTGTTGTTTAGTTATAGAGCTGTTCATAAGGCACTGTCCTCATGACAATCAAAACCTGCACATGGATGTTTAGCTTTATTCATCATTGTCAAAACTTGGAAGCAACCAAGATGTCCTTCAGTAGGTGAATGAATAAATAAGCTGTGGCATATCCAGATAATACATGTACAATATTATTCAATATTGTATCCAAAATAAGTGAGCTATCCAGCCATGGCAAGGCATAGAGGAATCGTAAATGTATATTATTAAATGAAAGACGCTAATCTGAAAAAAAGGCTATGTACTATATGATTCCAATTCTATAAAATTCTGGAAAGGGCAAAACTATAGACACAGTAAAAATATCAGTGGTTTCAGGGGCTGAGGGAAGGAAAGAATGAATAGGTGTAGTAGAGAAGATTTTTACTGCAGTAAAACTATTCTGTATTATGTTATTGTGATGGATACATGCTGTGATACACTTGTCAGAACCCACAGAATGTACAACACCAAGACTTAGCCCTAATGTAAACTATAGACTTTGGGTGATAGTGATGTGCCAAAATATTTTCATTGATTGTAACAAAGTTACAGAGAGTATATGGAACTCTGCAACTTCCTCCCAATTTTGTTATGAGATTAAAACTGTTCTAAAAAATAAAGTTTACATAAGTAAATAAATACATAGATAAATAAAAATTAATAAAAAAGTTAAATGTCTAGCAACAGAGAATGAGTTTAATAATTTTTAATATATCTATACCATGCTAAATTTGTGAAAAATAAAAAAAGATTAGATGTTGTTATTGGAGTTATCCTCAACAATTTTTCATAGTTGTAAACTAAAGTTTGAATAAGTGTATAATAAGTGATATTTAAAATATATATTTCATTTTCTGAAATTTAAAAAACCACCTATATTTTCTTTTTTTTAAATTTTTATTGCTAGTTTCAGGTGTACAGAACAATGCAATAGTTACCTTTTTCACCTTCACAAAGTAACAACCCCCCCCCCCGTATTGCCCTCCACCCCCGATATCATGCTTATCTATTACAATTCCATTGATTCCATTCCCACTCTCTACTCCATGTCCTGAGACTATATGTATATATGATTATAGTTGACACAATATTATTCAACATCAGCTTCAGAGTTATCCTCAACAATTTTTCATAGTTGTAAACTAAAGTTTGAATAAGTGTATAATAAGTGATATTTAAAATACATATTTCATTTTCTGAAATTTAAAAAAAACCACCTATATTTTCTTGATCCTAATATTTTCTTATAACTGCCATTGTGAAAAATTTGAAATGATCCATATTGTATAAAACCAAGTTAATAACAGATGCTGCATGAGGGTGGGGGGAGGGGTAATTGGAGAAAGATAGTGAAAAAGTACTAACTCCTAGTTATAAGATAAATAAGTGAAAGGGATGTAATGAACAACATGATGACTACAGTTAACACTGCTATATGATACATGTGAAAGTTGTCACAAGAATAGATCATAAAGAGAAAATTTTTTCCTTTTTCATTGTATTTATATGAGATAGTAGATGTTAACTAAACATTATGGTAATCATTTCACAATATATGTAAATGAACCATCATGTATCATGTTGTACATCTTAAAGTATTTAATGATGTATGTCAATTATTTCTCAATAAAACTAGAAAAAAATAACAGATGCTGCATTTCTCCTCAAAATTAACTCTAGTTCTTAAATAGCTACTTTGATGAAGATTATTCTTGTTGGATGGGACACTTGTATGCAGGATTTCATCTGATCACCATAATTTTTTATTTATATACCTTTAAATATTTTAAATATTTTTTCCAAAGTAAGATTTTCTAAGGTACATGTTATTCTTTTTTAAAAGTTTTTAATTTTTTATTTTTCAATTGTAGTTGACATTCAATATTATTTTATATTAGTTTCAGGTGTACAGCATAGTGGTTAGACACTCATATCACTTATGAAGTGATCTCCCAATAAGTCTAGTACCTACCTAGCACTATACATAGTTATTAAAATATTATTGACTACATTCCCTATGCTTTACATACTTGTAGCTGTTTTGTAACTATCAATGTGTACTTCTTAATCCCTTCACCTTTTCATCCATCCCCCCAATACCCCTCCCACCATCACTTTTTTCTCTGTATATGTGAGTCTGTTTCTGTTTTGTTTGTTTATTTATTTTGTTCTTTAGATTCCACATATAAGTATGAACATATGGTTTTGTCTTTCTCAGTCTGACTTATTTCACTCAGTGTAATACCCTCTAGGTACATCCATGTTGTTGCAAATGGTAAGATTTAATTTTTTTTTATGGCTGAGTAATATTCTATCATATACCTGTACCACATCTTCTTTATCCAATAATCTATTGATGGACATTTCAGTTGCTTCCATGTCTTGGCTATTATAAACGGAGCTGCAGTGAACACAGGGGTGTATAGGTATATCTTTTTGAATTAGTGTTTTGGATTTCTTCAAATGAGTAGATATTATTCTTAAGGCAAACTTCACCTAAATCCTAGTTGTGGCACATACTGACTTATGTGAAACCTCTACATTAGTTACACAAAGTCAAAGACTGTATTATAAGCTAACATTTTTTAGAAACACCAAAGAATATATGACAAGCTAAGCCTCAATCATAGTCCCAATTTCTTTACAATGGAAAAAAATTAAAAATTTTTCAGATACATACTTTGCCTTTGATTACTCATCTACTTTCAGTTCCAGGATCATTAACTGTTACAAGAAAGAGGAAAAAGAATTCTGCCTCTTAATAAATTTGTATTGACACCTGTTTATCAGTCATTCCAAGTCAACACGTATGTACCTGTGCCAGTATAAATGATGACATAAACACTTGTCATTAAAAAAAAATACTAAGTCATTTATATATCTTGAACTTGATTCTAGATGCTGGGTAGACATGAATTAAGAAATGGCCATGTACTGAAAATAGACATGTCTCTCTACAAAAAAGTGTACAATTGCCAGGACCTACTCTATTTCATATTATTAATCATACCTTTTTGAGTTACTATGACCCAATGCTTCCCTGGAAAATTTCTGTCATCTTAGGTAATGTAGATTTACTTGAATATAAACAAAGCAATAGTTCCATATTACCTGTCTTGCTTGTCAATTTTTAAAAACCTTACAAATGCAAACATATGTATTTGATAAGACTTTAAGAAACTTTTCCCGGATATTTTTGGTTTTGACACCGTAGATGATAGGGTTCATCATAGGAGGGATAAGAAGGTAAATGTTGGCTATAAAGATGTGGATATGTGGAGCTATGTTATGCCCAAATCTGTGGGTGATAAAGGAGAAAAAGGCAGGTGTGTAAAACACTAAGATGACCCAAACCTGAGAGCCACATGTGCTCAAGGTCTTGAGTCTGGCCTCCTTTGATGGGAGATGAAACACAGCATGAAGAATGAGAATATAAGAGCAGATTATCAATATGAAGTCCAGCCCACCAGTAAGGAAGGCAAGAATTAAGCCATAGAATCTATGGGTCCTGGTATTGGCACCGGCCAGTTTGATAAGGGCCATAAATTCGCAATAGGTGTGGGCAATGACATTGGTTTTGCAGTAGGGTAGCCTCATCAGTAAGAAAGAATGAGTCACCAGGATAACTCCACGTAGCACAATGGCCAAACTCAAAGCTGTGATCACTCCATGTGTCAGGATGGTGGAGTGCTTCAAAGGGTTGCAGATGGCCACATATCAGTCAAAGGCCATGGCTAACAAGAATCCTGACTCCATGGTGGACAGAGAGTGGATAAAAAATATCTGGGTGAGGCAAGCTTTAAAGTTGATTTCTCTGTCATTGAACCAGGGGAGGCTGAGGATCGTGGGAAGGGCATTAGTACACAGCATCAGGCCATTCACAGAAAGCATGCAGAGGAAGAAATACACAGGTTCATGAAGACTACGGTCCGTCTTGATGATGAGCACAAGAACACAGTTCCCCATCAGAGCCAGCAGATAGACCAGGAAAAAGGGGATGGAGATCCAGACATGAGCAACCTCCATCCCTGGGATTCCAAGGAGGAGAAAAGTAGTTGGGTGGAAATTGGTTCTATTTTGAACTAACATTTTCAGAGTCATTAAACCTGCTCTAGCCTAAGGGTTGACAAAATTATTTTCAATAGATTGAGCATAAAATATACTCTGTTTACACCTAAAACATGTGACACATATTTTATGACAATCAGTGGTAGGAAAATTTATGCCAGATTCATGTATGGGGGAAGGGATGTGGAATTAGCTAGTAATATTTACTTTAATCTCAAAATTCAAAGGGTAAAATAGAGAAGACTCTACCCTAAGGAAAAGAAAGAACAGGCCCTAAAGTTGGGATGTTTTGCCCCATATCTCTCTTATCCTCCATGATATAAATATCACCTAGTAAGTGCTGGAATTACATCACGTGCTCATTTTGCTTATATTTTCATTAGACAAATAAATAAATAAGAACAAAGAGGCTCATTTTCAAGTGAGTATTAGAAAGGTATTCCTCTGATTATGTCTCTAAAACATGATTTCATCTACGAGGCTCGTTTTTTTCTCTTCATTGGAAATTTGTCTGTTTATAAATAAAATTATAAAAGCAAGTTGCTATTTTAGATTAAAAACACTTATTGAACCCAGTATATGTCAATTTATGTGAATGTGATCAGATTGATATGCAAAGACAAATATGAATACTTGAGCCATTTAAACAGAGTTTATTTTTAGTTTTACTTGATCTCTATGTTACAAACATTTTATGAAGTGAAAAGCAATCATCTAGCCATATCTCTCAGACATATCTCCATAGGGGTGGCCAAATATGCACCAACTCAGAATATAACTAATTCCATTTATCATTATTCTTTGTCTTTAAAATACCTTTAAATCACCAAAATCTTTTGTTCAGCTGCCTGCACCAGTAAGTCTCTAAAAAATTACTATGTTTAAATAATTCTGTTCTTGTTGATAAATAGCCTCCGTATTGAATTCCCAAAGGGCTGCCTTTCTTTTACCTACCATAGCCTACATTGGAGACTTTTCAGATGTCCCTATAATTTATTACTAAAGTAGTCCAAGCTGGCACAACAGGAGACCTTCTTGATTTGTCTTCAGCTCTATGACTGGAATCCATTTGCTGCTTATTCTCTACGCATAAGTTGTTAAATATTTTTAATTCCTCTTTACTTTTTCTTTCGAATAGAAATGCCGCTGTCTCAGGTGGTCCTCTGACCTCTTCAACTCGCTGGTCTTTCTGCCTGAGTTGTACTCATTTCTCAGAGGCTATACAACAAGCCAGTTGCTGCCCACTTCTTGCTCTGGTGCCACAGGTCTTTCAGGAGGGTTATACAAAATTAATGCTTCATGGGAATGGTTGTAAAAGATGATGAATAACAGTATCTCTCTTTGTTCCTCTAGAGCAGTGGTTCTCAACCTGTGGGTCACGACCCCTTTGGGGGTCGAGCGACCCTTTCACAGGTGTCGCCTAAGACCATCAGAAAACAAAAAGATATTTACATTACGATTCATAACAGCAGCAAAATTACAGTTATAGAGTAGTAACGAAAATAATTTTATGGTTGGGGGTCACCACAACATGAGGAACTGTATTAAAGGGTCGCCGCGTTAGGAAGGTTGAGAACCGCTGTCCTAGAGGATCCTCACTGATTGAGCAGATGACATCCTTCGAGAGTTCTGCAGTCACTAGAGGACTAGCCTCAGGAACCAATAATTAAAGAGTCTGTGGGCATTAGGGTCATGATGGTGATTGTTTCATTGTACTTTGGTGAGACTAAATATATGCTGATTGTGTAGGGAAAAACATTTGTCTTCACAGCATAAAACTGATTAAACTTTCCATAGCCCCACATTCTTTAACATCTGAATTATGGGTCAGTATGGTTTATAGCAATGTTAATAAAATATTATCCATGTAATACCTGTCTCAAAATCATCCAAAATGATATTTCCCCAGATATTCCCTAAAGTTTCATTTTTCTAGATATTGCCTAAGTTATATCAGCTAATCTGATGTTATGTTCTTATCTTAAAAAGGAGGATAATATATATCTTTTTAGGAGTTTTGTGATAGTAAAATTAAGAATGCATAGGATAAATTTTCCTACATACTATTTGACAAATAAAAAGTCACTTTATATTTTTATCATTGCTGTTATTATTTTAATATTGCCTTTCAAATGTAAGCTTAGGACTTTTATTTCCAAATGGATATGAAGGACTATAAAACAATGTTAAACTGTGTAAATATATCCTCTGTTGCTCTTGAACTGATAACCTTGGAAATAATTTGTGAAATTAGCACTGACAATCATTGATGATCAACAAAGGAGATGTTGTAGTAGAAACGAGTCAAACAGGGAGTATAAGGAATCACTTGTCCCCTTTTCTGCCACATATTTTATTAGTCTTCTCTGGCCAATCTCCAGTTACAGACTTCCCTGGGCCTTTAACAATATCACTTATTTTACATATAATGTTTACATGAACTCATCCAGATGTCTTCACTAATGCTCACAGGTTCAATAATTTGCCCAAATTGAACAGAGTAATTGAGGATGTCTCAAAATAAATAAATAAATAAATAAATAAATAAATAAATAAATAAAATGGAAAGATTTAATATATCAATTTGAATGGCAGAAAAAAAATCTACAATGCTGTATAAAGTATTTTATCACAGGATCTGAGTTTCCCTTCTTAAAACAAAAGCCTGTGGTTTTTTTTTTCTCAGTCAGTATAATTTAACAGGACTTTNTTTTATCACAGGATCTGAGTTTCCCTTCTTAAAACAAAAGCCTGTGGTTTTTTTTTTCTCAGTCAGTATAATTTAACAGGACTTTCTGATGTGTACAGGGACCCTGTTGCTCAGAGCTCAAACTCTTGAGCAAGCTCTTAACCAACTGAGCCACTTGGCCAGCCCTGCTAAATATCAGGAATTCTTTATTCTATTACTTTTTTTTTTTTTAAGCTGAGCCATCCTGCCACCTATTGGCAGCTCAGCAGCTGCTCAGCTTGGGCTGGGCATCGAACCACTGTTGCTCAGAGCTCAAACTCTTGAGCAAGCTCTTAACCAACTGAGCCACTCCCACTCGGCCGGCCCTACTTCTTTTCTTTTTTTAAACATTTAAATAGATAGATATAAATATATTGATATGTAAATGGATATGCAGGCATGTATTCATATATCCCTGAGATCATTAAAATAACCTAATCTAGAGAGCCTTGAACAAAATAGTCTTCTTTTGTCCTGGGGAACTAAATGGCTAAGACTTCTGAATGGACAAAGCTTCCTTTTGCTGTTAACTCCGACATGAGCTTACTTAAGTATGTGATAAACATCATGCCATGGTTTCAGGCTTGACTCTGCCACTTATTAATAGTACAACCTTTTTAATATAATTTAATCTTTACAATCTTGAATTTCCTAAGCTCTGAAATATGGGTACTAATAGTACATATATTATAACTTCTACATTAAAACAATAAATTAATATGATCATAATGTTAAATAAAATGAATAACATATAAAAACCACATCAATAATAAGTGGTAGTGGTGATTAATGATGATGGAAGTTGTGGCGGTGTTAATACCTTTTGTTTTTATGGGAAAAGACTCTTAACTGGCATGCTTTATTCATTGGCATGAAAATTAGAGCAACATAAATGGGGTTTTTTGTTTGTTAGTTTTTTGCTGATTTTTATTTTTAGATTTAGTTTTTGGTTTTATTATACTTTTAACAGAAGGAAACAGCATCTCTAATCAGGAAGGGTGCATGGATTTTCCTCCTCAGAGGCTATGTTGGATTTATTTAAAGATTTCCTCACTGGAAACAGAAATCTTCCCATAAACCCTGCAGCCAGCTGCCTTCAGGAGGCTGAAATTCTGCCAGCACTTTTGCTAGAGGAGCAGAAAAGAAATGTGTAAAATGAACAGAGCCTCAGAAACTTGCCGGGTACCAAACAAAAATACTAACAAATCTATAAAGGAAATCTCACAATGAGAGGAGAGAGAGGCAAAAATAACATCTGGAGAAATGGCTAAAAATTTGCCAAAACTGATGAACAATTTCAATCCTCATATACAAGAAGCTCAGGAAACTCCAAATAGAATGAAAAGAGACATTCTTACCGAGAACATCACAGTCAAATTTTGAAAGCAAAAGAAAAAGCGGGAATCCTGAAAGCAGCAAGAAAATAATGTCTCACTGCATACCACACTGTATCCACAATAAGGTTAAAATCTATTTATCTCTTCAGAAATTATGGTGGCAAGAAGGCAGGGGGACAACGTATTAAAAATAATGAAATAAAAAACTGTCAACCCAAAATTCTATAGCCAATAAAACAATTAAAGGTTGCTCAAAAACTAAAAACAGAACTACCATATGATTCGTTAATCCCATTTTTGGGTATATATTCAAAGGAAATAAAACACTAATTAAAATAAATATGCTAAATAAATAATTTTGTGAGAAATTATATTTTTACATTATGGGTTCAGGTTAAGTCATGACATGCTCATCAATTTACTCAACCAAAGTTTCTATTGAGAATACCACATGTTCTTTATCCATCCATCACTGACAGAGGAGTTGTTTCCATATCTTAGCTATTGTGAATACTGCTGCAGTGAACATGGAAGTGCAGATAATTCTTTGAGATACTGATTTTATTTTCTTAGGAAAAATATTCAGAAATGGATTGTTGAATAACATAGTTCTATTTTTAATTTTTTTGAGGAAACTCTATACTGTTTTCTCTAATAGATGTAATAGTTTACATTCCTACCTATAGCATATAAAAGTTCCTTTTTCGCCACATCCTCATCAATCATACCTCAATAAAGTTTTTAGTAAGAGAATATTTTTAAGAATACATTTGAATTGTGTGTCTTATTTGAATGAACTCAAACTGGAAAAAGAGTGTCTTTCACCACTATCTAGCCTGCTGTGACCATATGCTAATGTTTCCTACAAATTTTGAAATGTTTAGCCTTAAAATATTCATGAAAATGCTTTTGTTTCTACAAATTTAAGTGTAACCCAATGGCCAGATAAGTAAAGTTCAGAAGTATTC